TGGAGTTTCGTAAAATCCTTTCTTAGCGGATGCCTACGTCATAGTCATAACATCTACCTGCATGCCAAATTTCAGCCCGATCCGTCCAGTGGTTTGGGCTGTGCGTTGATAGATCACTATGTCAGTCAGTCAGTCAGCCACCTTTGAGTTTTTTATAATAGATTCTGAGATATGAGCTCCATTCTGAAAGAAAAGTCTCTATTTTCTTAAGGATTTCTTACGTCAATTGGAGACAGTTAAATTTTTCTTTTATTTAAAGAAAGTAACGTTATTTAATTGGCATACTTCAAAACAGATGAAACTAAATAAAACCTTGTTAAAAAATAACAATACAAAGCTAACAATACAAACACAGTTTACACAAAATATTAAGTTACAATTACAACAATCTTCCTCATAATATTATTTTATTTCACCGGGATTTTTTTTGTAGACGTACAAATTAATAAGGAAAAAATATTACGTATTTACTACGCATAAATACGTAACTTGCCAAAAAATTCTGTCATAATGATTCATAGTTTTTAATGTGAAATACATACTTAGTCCTATGTATCTACATTCTACACCTATAAATACAGTCCTTTAATCAATGAAACATTAAAAATGTTTGGAAATTGCAAAATTTTACGAAACTAGTAAGTAAAAAGTATAGTTACTTAAGTGAGGTACAGATATAATTCATTAAGGCTGAGTTGCACCACCTAACTTTAACGGTAACTATGACGATAACCGGTGCTTTTTGTATTTAGTTTGTCAGATTTTTGTTAAAGTAAGACGGTGCAACCCAGCCTTAAGTATAACAAAATTAGATTGGTTTTCTGTCCGTAACTTTGAAGTTTCCTAATTGGCCACAAGGCGAATGCTCGGGGGCTTCGTTACCCGGTCTATCGCAAATATCGCGATTAATCTTCTACACTCGTCTTTCCAATTGACCCAGATTACTTTTCCAAGTTTTTCTTGCACCCTAGTACCGTCAGAATAGAAATAGGTGTAGTAGACCTACTCCATGCAATCAAATCAAAAAAATCAAAAAAATATTTATTACCCTTCACAATTTAGGTACACAATACAATAGAAACTAAGCCAAGGATTTTTAACCTAAAGTGCGAGGGACTGGTGCCTGAAATAGGTTTCAAAAGAGAAACCTGTGCTACGGGTCACCAGGCCTCACCCCCGGAACGAATGGCGTTATATAAGGTAATAACATAGACGTGCATGCATTAAACTTACATATTAATAGCTTAACAGAGAAGACTGAAGTGTGAATGAGTGTGTCNATGACTGAAGTGTGAATGTGTGTGTCGTGTGTATGATGAGTGTGAGCGTATAGGTTGTGTGTGTACAGAAGAAGGTGAGTGTGCGAATGAATGCGAAGGTGTTTTTCTATCTATCTATCTATATAAATAAAAATGAATTGATGTTCGTTAGTCTGATTAAAACTCGAGAACGGCTCGGCCGATTGAGCTGATTTTGGTTTTAAAAAGTTTGTCGTAGTCCAGGGTAGGTCTAAACGGAGAGCAAATAAGGAAAAATTGCGATGGCTTATTTATTGCCTTTAAGGCGGAACAGAGTTCGCGCAAAAGAAGGTGAGTGTGTGAATGAATGCGAAGGTGTTTATTAACAATAAGATTAAAGGGACAATTAGGCATGTAAACGAATACACATAGTACGGGATGTTTGGGAATCATCTTAGGGGGCGAATTAGTTGTTCTGTGGCTTCATAATCCAGTGTTTTCAGGTGCTGTATGACTTTTTGTTTGCAGCTAGAAGTGGTCAGAGAGTAAATTTGAATTCTTGTGTTAATTTTGTTATAGAGGAAGGGGCCTAAGGGAGATCTAGCCTGTAAGGTGGGCAAAATTTTGAAATGCAGGTAAATTAGTAATATATGTACAACCCGATCGAGCCAAATGCGCACCTCGCTGGAATGCGACTTTCCCGGGTACTCGCCCGCACACCACCACTCGTTCACTCCGTGCGTCCGTAACAGAGCGTCGATGTGACGTCATGGCTACCTGGTGCGCAGTAGATTCGATCGAGTTGTATTTTGTATTTTAATTATTATAAAGTCAAAGTCAAAGTCAAAATTTCTTTATTTGTTTGGACTAATAAATAGTTCTTACAAATCGTCATTTTGCTCTTAAGGAGCCTCTACATGTCTCATAATCTTTTTACCCTACCAGCGCTTCGAGACCTACATTTGGCAAGTGCTGAGAAGAAGCGCCGCAACAAATATAGTTTTGGGGTAAACTCATGGGGCTTTTTCTCCTAATCGGACACGCCCACAGTTGGTAATATGTTAAACTATTTTAATGTAATGTTAACTATTCTAATGTCCAAAAAAACTATTTCAACTATTCTAATATTCGTCATAAGTAGTCTAAAATCGATATATTATCACGAAGCCTAGATAAAATTATATCGTGTTTTATCGATTGCATCGGGTTAGTAGGTCCCAGTCATCCACAGCTTGGTTAGCATGATTCTATGTGATTTGGGTTTTTATTACAATAAGTTTCTAAAGATTTTGAGATTAAGCATCTTGGTTTGAAGGCCTTTAATAAAAAAATATGAAATAAGTATTTTTTATGGATTTGCTATTATTTTCCAATCACAATCATTAATGTCTGTTTTCAAATACAAGTAATTGTGTGACATCATTTTTGGGTATTAAAATATACGAGTAATAGTGTATGGTATTGCACACTTTTCTACGAATAATTTCACGCAATGCTAAGCAAAGCTCGTGTATCAAAAGCCTTATCACTGTTGAAAGATTTCCAGTTAAAGAAAAATATAACACTAAAACTTCAGACTTTTTATTAAAATTTTCTGTACTTATATGTAAAAATGTAGTTTTAAAAGTACGAATAACAAGAAGGCGCCCAATATTTCTTATAACACTTTAATCTATTCACTCTATTTGTACACATACATTTCTAAATTATACAGATTCTTATAAATTATTGAATTTACGCACTAATTGAAATTAAATCAACTTTTAATGAAGTTATTTTACTTTTCTGTTGAGACTGTTTTTACAATCTGAAATTCAGCCTGAGCCTAGTTAGAAGAAGGAAACTTCATTCACTTCAAACATTTTGCAGTAAAAGTACAGTGAAGGTCGTCACAACAGAAGTATATGTGATGAGAATACCGTAGTCCAGCCTTTGAATGCGAGCCGCTGTGAACTCGACGGGCTTTAAACAGACCAGTCTGCGAAAATCAGTCAAGGTTTTTCTCGTTGATGTATCTGAAATTTATGAATATTACTACCATTACCAGTAAAATAAAATCGGGTTCAATTTATATGGTGATAGTATTATTATTATGCGATCATCCAACTAGACCCCAAAAATTCCCTTCAAAAACCACTCATAAATTAAACTAGCACCCATGGCCTGCATCTCACTTGACATCAGGTGTGATTTCAGTCAAATTGAATTGTTCTGCATTAAAAAAAATCATTCACGCGAAAAGTAAAATCAACTGAGGAATCCATCTGAGGTAGGATAAAATATCTTTAGGTACCCACACTTACTGATATCTTTACTGACTAATATGTGGTCTAAAATGCGAATTATCTGTTCTTTTTGCTCGTAAGTTTTTTCACAGCGATGCACTAAACTATACAACATTACTGCACTGATCAATATCCTCGAAATACATTGTAATGCTGTAATAAATTTTGTTTTTATGACACCATCCTGAAATTAAAATATATTATTTATAAAAATAGACGTAGAACACTTTTACACGATGTGATTGCGTTATTTTTTCGCGTCACAAGTATACAAAGTGCCACACCACCATTTTTACTTAACATTTGTTTCATTTGGGACTTATTAGTTNATTCTTGTGTTAATTTTGTTATAGAGGAAGGGGCCTAAGAAGCAGAAGAATTTTGTTGCAAGTGTAGTTTTTAAGAGCGGAACTATACAGACTGTACCTTTCCTGCGCTTGTCATTTTTTCATTCACTTTGGAAATATGAAAATAGAGTTGGGAAATATAAGTGTCAGCTACCCAATAGGTGATGTATATGACCCGAGACCGAGTGATGCGTAAAATGTTGAATATTTTGCTATTCCGGAAGCATCTAGGAGTTTTGGCTCTATAAAACTTCTTCGGGGGATATTTTTGTATTTTATTAGGATGCTACGTAACTTTTATTTTTGTTTTAGGAGATCTTAACCTTTACGCCCACTTAGTCTGATTAAGTAAAAGAACACGAGTATAATAAGGATATTGACTGTAAAATCAGCAAATTCTGCTGAAAATTTTTGTACCTCAGTTTTTTTAATATTACTTTGCATATTTTTTTAATAGAAAGCGAATTATTCTAATTTAAATTCTGTGGGTTTTTCAAAATCTTATGAATTTTGCTAGAATCTGTTGACTTCTTTCAGCATTTTGATATTTTTTATTTTCAGGTTAACCGCAAATAATTGAAAAAAAAATCCTAATTGTAGAGCCACTAAAGTTCTAGTTAAACTGACTGCCAAACAATATGCAAATCATTCCAATTGAATAACACATCAATCGTCAATGAACAATGAAGTCATCGCATTAAACCACAAAGCACACGTTTGCATTTTAGTCGGATGATGGTCAACACGTGATAATTGATTCATGAAATGCAATTGACTGCGATCATTAATTCATTATTTATTTGAAACCGCAAAAATAAGATTGTTTATAATAGATGTTCCTATCCTGTTGAGATTCTTCTATTCTTTAGTTAGATGATTAATTTTAATGTTAATAAATCTAGCTACTCGTACATATTCTTTGTCCTCTGCAAATAAGTTGTTTTATCTGTGTTCAAGACCCTGATGTTAAATTTTTTAAGACACTTTAGGCGTCTCAAATGTAAAAATTGAACCGACACATCTTTACATGCCTTCCAAAATACATAAAACATGTTTAGACAATGTTTATTCAGGCCATCTTGTTCAAATTTACAAATTCATACAGAGGTGATGAAAAATCACTTAGAAATCTAACCCAATACCTCTGAATTAAGATTTTCCAAGCCTTTAACCACTGGATCACCAAACAACGTTATCAACGATAGGGATTCCTAGTAAGAATGGTTTACTTCATAACACAATAGTTCTAACAACATTGCATCTTAATAATATTATAATGTTGAGATACCTACCTATCTACTTATTTTTAGAAAACAAAGATCTACTCTACTGGAATTTTTGACAGATCGTCAGATTTACTCGTATCTTTTGTAAATCTGTTATGAGTTGGTGATACATGCATTTGAAGAGAATTATAACTGATACTCACAGTTCTATTCTGTAAATTCTTCACTTTACAAAGCAGCGTGACTGGGTGGCCGACCAGTCCTGTCACGTTCTCCGGCGTGCTTGGATCGAAGTACGGAGATCCAGCTGTCTGTGGCACATCTTCTAGAAACTCAGCCCGGAATCTTCTGGAAGACTCTGACACTGTGCTTTGGTCCCTCGATCGGGTGCTCCCGCTTTCTTGTCGGCAGACTGTGGAAAAGAAACATGGTTAATGATCTTCGATGAGACATGATGTCACAACACTCAAAAATTTTCACGTAGGAAGATTTAATTAATGCTACTCTTGTAGCAGAGTTTTGGGCTGACTGTGTAGGTTTGTTGTCGACACGACAAGAAGGAGAATGATGATGAGAATATGACATCTACTGGTGGAAAAAGACCTCCACAAGGGATTTCCACATCGACAGGTCCTGCGCTGACCTTCGCTAGATTATCAGTCAACCTAGTAGGAGGCCTGACAGTACATCTCGTCTCAGCCAAATGACGTCCACTGCTGGACAAAGGCCTCCCCCAAGGTTTTCCACAATGAACGGTCCTGCGCTGCCCGCATCCAGGCTCTTCCCGCGACCTTTACCAGATCGTCGGTCCACCTAGTAGGAGGCCTGCCCACGCTACGTCTTCCAGCCCGTGGTCGCCGGTCGAGAACTTTCCTGCCCCAACGGCCATCGTCTCTACGAGCTATGTGCCCCGCCCACTGCCACTTGATTTTAGCAATTCTGCGAGCTATGTCGGTTACTTTGGTTCTCTAAAACTCCGAGCATAGCCCGCTCCATCGTCCTTTGGGTGACCTTGAGCCTTCTTATGAGGCCCATAGTAAGCGACCACGTCTCAGATCCGTATACCATCACTGGCAACACACATTGGTCGAATCTTTCGACTTGAGACACTGCGGTATTTCGGACGTGAGTATATGGCGAAGCTTCCCGAACGCTGCCCATGCGAGTTGGATTCGACGATTGACCTCTTTCTCGAAGTTGGACCTACCTAACTGAACTGTTTGTCCCAGGTATACATAATTGTCAACAACTTCGAGTGTAGAGTCTCCAGTCTGACAGTACATCTAGAGCTACCTAAATTTTCTACAAAACAACTAAGTATGGCCTATTTTTAGCAAGCAATAAAATATAAAATACTTATGTTTTTCGTACAAATTTGATTAAGCTGCTCGACGATTTGTAATTTTGTGCCAAATTTAAATTCAAGACACGATTGACCCACTTATGGATTCCGCTACTTCTTTCATCCAAGCTGTAGATTTATATGATTTAGTAAGCTTAGTGGTTGAAGGCAAGTTTGTAACCTTAGTGCTTTAAAAATAACGCGATTTTTATAAAGCTGTAAGTTTTAAACATTTTAAATTACTTTTTAGAGTAAGTACAGCAGTAGAAAGTACTAAAAAAGTAGGTAAATATTTGTTGTTGATATTGATTTCACCTTATACCTAATTGACATTTATTTAGTTCAAGTTATTTTGAAAAACAATGTGTATCAATAATGCTTATTGAATCTTACAGAACCCGTTAAAGTACCGTTTCCCATGGTGTAGATTTGGACGCAGGTAACTAAAGTCACTATACTCGTACACAATGCTAGTAGGTAGTACACCTACAGATACTTACACAAAAGTTTGTATGTACACAAAAATACACTAACCGTCATAGAATCTTACCCGAAAATTGGCTTAGTTTTTTGCTGCCCGCAACCAAAGGAATCAAATAAAATATTATTTGACCGAAGAAATCACAAATGTATTTGATGGTAATGATAGTAGACGCAATAAGCGGCATTCGGTTTAGATTTGGCTACAATCTACATCTTATATGGCTACCTGCCAGATGCTAGATTGGCAATGTGAAGTTATAGCGTTCATTTGTGAAGGCTTACAGCCAAGACCGGTTATTTTGCACGTGTTATTTGTGATGACAGGTACGTACACTGTTATGGAAATTGTGATTGGAAAATTGGTCTTTAAATCATGTAGTACAGAATAGACCAGTATTTTGGAAGGACAAAAAACCCGGAGAAACAATTGAATACCTACTCATTTACTGTATACTCTGGATAGCTCTATCACTTCTTTCAAATCTTACGATGATATCCCAAAACATGGGATTTTTATAGATGATACCTACACTGTCCAATTAGGATGTGAAATAGTGCGTCATCGCTTTAACACTTTTTTCTCCATAAATCAATCAAACCGATCAAAGCACCAGTTTCAATTTTAAACGCGTTAATCTTGATTACGTCGAACATAATCCTCCTTTCATTCCCAAGGACATATCGGCCCCTAATCTTTACACTAACAAACAGACCGTTATAAAATTGACAGCCGTTCATAATTTAAAATTTAACGCTTAATCAAGTCGGGTTGACAATCAAGATTTACGCCTCCTCAGGGACGTTTCATTTTCCAGTCCATTTCTTTCTCTGGTCCACGATAACACGATTAATTTTTAAATCGATCGTGGATCATTAATCAGGACGTCTCTTCAAATTGATGGTCTTAGTGTTTGGGTTGGGATAGTGAGGAATTTAATGAGGAAACCTGGAATTTAACGACTTCGTAAACTTTCTTTACGCTTCTCACAAATGAGAGTGGTTGATAGGTAGAAAGTAGAGATCGATAACTAATAAACAAGCTAATAACAAGCATGTCGTGTCAAGTGCGTGGTAGCTAATATAAATTATTCGGAAAAGGTGTCAAATTGATCTATAGGCTTTCACATAAAAGCAGTGTTTTGATATCAGATGTTTGCCTGCACTAATGGGACATTCAATACCTAAACACTATAGGCTCAGATTCATCATACTGTCAATTTACTGAAATCCTATATTAAAAAGATAAAGCATTTTTTGGTCGATGTATGTTTGTCTGACACCATGTCTCGTCGTAAAAAGATTTAGCCTGATAGAATTTCTTTTTAGTTTTTGGCATAAAACATTTTGAAACAGCTGTTGAGACCTAATAAGAAAAAATAAATAAAACCAGAACGACTGCCAAACAGTAACAAGAACTGATACGTGCAAAAAGTAGAGAATAATATTTGTGATAATATTATTAAGGGTAACAAAGTGACTACCAAATTATACTTAATGGAGAAACGCTCCAATTACGATGTTAGAACTTCGCTTAATGAAACGAATACTCAAATCAAATCAACTAGAGATGTTGAGCATTTGCTAAGAATTAAGTTTCCATCATCCATTTTATAAGACCCGCTCAAAAGATTGATATTAAGTTGATTTAATATGATGCTTTTGGAATAAAAACGTCAACTACCAACAATTTTTGTGCAGTACAACGCACAACCGACTCAAAACGCTTACTTATTTTGAGACAGACCCAATACATTCGTCTAAGTTTTAGACTAGGCAAAAAATAACTTTGGACCATGGCTGTTGCCAAGCTCATACAGAATCTCTAAGCATTCATTGTGGCTTCAAGATATTATATGGAAGAGAGTTAGAAATTGTATGAATTTGTATGGCTTGGACTTACTGATTAAAGAGTTAACAGGGCTACGACCTTCCCAAACAAATTGAGTTACGGTTTGTGTAAGTAAGAAAGTCAAACACCCACGGCAAATCTTTGGATGTTCCGACGGTCTTTGTGAAATGAAATCAAGTCGAAAGTTAGCTTTGACAAAACTTTGAAATTCAGTCATATTTTATGAGGTAAGTATTAAATCAATAAACAAAATACGCAAGTGGGATTCAAATACTATATCCCCAAGCCTGTCGACAGCCCGGCGGCTTTATTTCAAAAGAATCGTCGTTGATTTGAACTTTTTATGACTTTTGAGTAAATACGGGTTTACACACTAATGTAAACAGCATTATACTCAAAGATTTTCATTCGGCATTGAAGTAAATTGGCATTGGTGTAAAAAGTATTAAATCCAATGTTTGCAGCCAATGGCAAAACCTTGGCCTATCAATGAAAACATCTGTGAGTAGTCGTGCGTTTTTATAAGTACAGACGACAGCACATCAGGCTATACATTTTCGTTGCAAAGTCACCCTTATCGCAACTACGTAAGATACCACAGAGTTTACGTTGACGTGCTGTCGACTGTACATTAAATGGAAGATTTTTCTTAGAAATTCCAATGTCTTTTCAGTATTAGTACAGTTACTAGGTATGTTCATGATTTATTAATAAACCACAGTGTTGAATACAGGGAACTAGGTCGAAAGTTTCTAGCTGAAAGTTTTCGGCACAAATCTGTGGCCATTTTATCTCGACCTTCTAAGTTAATGTTAGATTGGTAATTAATTTTGCCCCAAATTTTACCCGCGAAGATAAAAATTTCTTTAATGAAAGCAAAACGCAAAGTTAAATTGAGCCGGTGGTGAGATACAGTGGCTCTGGTGACCTACAATTTTGTCTATATTTCAGTGGAAAATGTAAGACATTTTTCTTTGAGGTGGCGAAATTATTTTTCCTGAATTTGTTCCTAAAGTAGGTTCTGTGATATAAACATGAGTTTCAATTAAATTAATTTAGTCATGAAAAAACAATCAGTATTCTCTTTTAACATTAGAAACAGAATTCCGTGCCATTGTCTGTTCGTTATAGTAAGTAGATTTAGATTTTATTGAGACGTAATAGCAACCATCTGCATAGAAACTAAAAAACTCTATCCAAAAGCTGATGCCATTTTCAAGCAATATACCATGAACCTTTTACCGATAGCTTTTCAAATAAGTACCTACCTAGTCATGTTGGAAATCTATAGGTGGATCAATCTTTTTTAATTTTTTTTATGTTTTTTTTTTTTTGTATTTTCAATGATTTTTGACACCTTGTGCTTCTTTGTTTTGGAATGTCAGCCTCAAATCAAAGAAAGCATTTTTCAACAAGCATCTTTCCCGCGCTGGCTGTCTTACGCCCGTATTCACAAACGATGCTTGCTTAAGTGAAGTAGCGAATCGAACGCACAGCGTTGAATAGAGCTCTGTGATTGGCTCGTGTGTCATCCTGTGCGTCCACGCGCACAGTAATGTTTGTGAATACGGGCGTTATTTTCAACCCACAATGTAATAATAATCACTACCTAGAATCCTAAAGCCTATTCTACAAAGAGCTGACTCACCAATAATGCACGAAAGAAAATGTACTGTGAAGAGGCACACTCCTCTTCCCGCCATGCTTCTCACCGGCCCCGGGCAGTCGTCGCGCCTGAAACAAAAGCCTTGTTAATAACCCTTCAAAGGAACCCTTTTGCGCCCCGGGCGAGAAGGAATAAAAGAAACTAATCAGTGGGTAGTGTACGGTGGGCGTTTTTTAATATGTAGGCTGTATGGCTCTTTTGCTATGACGTCACAATGTTTTGTTTCTGAGTATCAGGTTGGGAGATTAAAGATACTTCTCACACGATCAAACATAACATTTTGTTATTTAATTTTGGGGAATTATAAAACGAGCGACTAAAAAAAAACTTTGCGACTGATGATGGCATACTGTTTTAATACCTTGAGCGGTATGAATTTGAGTAAGCGAAAAATTTACCACACTAACGACGAATATTGATCAATAATAAAATCTAGTACGAGNATTCTTGTGTTAATTTTGTTATAGAGGAAGGGGCCTAAGAAGCAGAAGAATTTTGTTGCAAGTGTGGTTTTTAAGAGCGGAACTATACAGACTGTACCTTTTGGTGTTCTTAGAAAGAACTAAAGCTGGATTACTTTTTTTGACCTTTTGCCTTGCCTTGAAGACTTTAAAGATGTCGCTAAACTACTACCATCAACAGCACATTTAAGATCTTTATATCTCACGAGAAATACGACTATTCACGGATGGTACGTGAGAAAATTACAATATTTTAGTAACAATAGTTTTGGATAGGCAGAAAAATATAACAGCAACAACTTTTTAAAGAATGTAAATGATAATAATGTACAATTTAATGCTGTTGAAACATTGTTAAACAAATAAAAATAAAATAAAACTAAATAATTGGGTACTTCGCAAAAAATTGCGCGCGATCCGTGAGTCTCGCCAGCGCGCAGAGTCCGACAAAACGTAAGCACACAAAAACACAGAATTAACCACACGGGACTGGAAGTGGCCCAATACTCAATAATCAACATCTTTATTGCTTTCATAATAGTTACAAGATGTTACAGTTACAACACAGATAAATATGGACCCTGTTGGGCGCTGCAAATTAAAAATAAGATGGAGGTTTCTTGTAGTTGAGACAGTTATTACTTATTAAGTAATTTATTTATTTATTTATACTTCAATGCCAAAAATATTAACATTAGGCGAACTTAATGCCATAAGGCATTCTCATCCAGTTTACCTTTGGGTTATGCAGAAAAATTAGTTTGGCGGTATAACAAAAAAATAAAAAATAAAACAAAGCGACGGCAAAACAAATATGCTACATATACATNAGCAGAAGAATTTTGTTGCAAGTGTAGTTTTTAAGAGCGGAACTATACAGACTGTACCTTTCCTGCGCTTGTCATTTACTAGGTCGGGGTTATAAGGTGTCTGCTTGTGTTGTTTTATTATGACGCGAAGCACGAAGGTTTGCCTGACCGTGAGAACATCCCAGACCCTATATAGCTCGGCAGTAGGGAATCGGAAAGGGAGACCGGCAGAAACCTTAAGGAGAACACGTTGGGCTCTTTCAACAGGTAAGATGTGCGATTTTGCAGCACCACCCCATACTGTAATACAGTATTCCAGCAGTGAGTGCGCCAAGGCAAAATAAACGGTTTTNATACATTACATTTTTCTAATTGAGGTTTTACTGAACGAACTACAAAAAAGTTAATTCTAAGCAAAGTTTTGTGAGCTGCTTTATTAATGATTATTGGTTACTGATATTATATTTGAGGTCTCATGTTTTTTATTTTGATACGCTTTATTAATGAAAACTACAGATTGTTACAGCGCGCGAATTTGAATGGGGGCTCGGCGCGCGAATTTGATTCGGCTCAAACTAACAACACCGCCACTGGAAGCAAAACTGACCTATTGGACAAAAAAGACAACGAGGCCGGCCCGCTAAGTCCAAGCCAGCACTTATCATACAGTGACGATGAGTAGGTAGAGCTCCTCAATCCTCATAGGTACCAATGAACCTTATTAATAAGATTACTTTTTTTTGGGTCGACAGAAGCGACTTATTTTATTTTGTTTTTTTTTTGTTGATCCGATTTAAGAAAATACAAATTTATTTCATTTTTCGTAATACATTGTTTCATTTGATTACCTACCCTTAAATTTTAATTATTTATTTTTTTCGCTACTAGAATAGTGTTCCGTCAAATATTTATTTCATAAGATCATTTTTTATTTAAATGTGGGCTCATAATACGCTGCTCATAATAGTATTTTTCAAAGCAGTTTTTGCATTCGAAACACTTCATTAAAGTTAAAAATACCGCTCAGTATAAAAAAGCATTTGCCAAATATTGAAAAAAATGCAAGACCTAACGTTGACACTCAATCAAATATTAGGTCGCTCAAATATTATGAAGCTTCTCATTTTGTATTTTAAGGAACTCATTTTTTTTTTGTAAGTTGCTATTTTTTTGATTTTTCGTCACTCGCACTCAGTCGCTCACTTAGTAATTCTTTATAATAATAATTATAATATAATTTATTTATTCAAGTAACATGACTCATTATTTGTTAGTTATAAAGGACTTAACCTATGTTAGTAATAATTGGAACATCTAAACTATTCATTAATATTATTTTTTTTGCACAACTCCTGTGGATGTAGTGCAGCAGTAATTAATATAACGGCAGTCCAGTCTACTCGCTATCATAGACAGGATGCTGTTGGGGCCGCCCCGAACCCTGCGCACCAGGGAGGCGCACCTCTTCCGCATGGTCGCGTAAAAACAATCTACTCGCGCCTCTGCAAACATGCCCGATGCGCTGCAGTATCTGGGCAACCCCATCAGCACCCTGAACGCGTTGTTGTATTGGACGCGCAGAGCGCCATACGACACACGCGAACAATCAGCCCACAGACTGCACGTGTAGAAACTAGTGCAGTAGGCTCTGAAAAGAGTTACCTTTACTGCCTTTGAACAACGTGAGAACCTACGAGCCAGCATGTTCGCCCTTACCGACAGCGCCCTGCGTTCCCTCTCAACATCATCACCATCCTTTAGGTCAGGAGTCAGTAAATGGCCCAGATATTTAAACCTGTTTACGCGCTGAATCTCACAACCATTGAGAAAGACGCTCGGCAATAAGTTTGGCCTCCTGCTTCCCTCCCCAAAGACCATGATCTGGCTCTTTCGCACGTTGTACGCCAATCCATGGGACTTAGCGTAGGTCTCACATATTGCCATGAGCTTCCTCAGTCCACAAACGGAAGCGCTCAGCAGCACCATATCATCTGCGTAGCTGATATTATTTACACAAACGCCATCAATGTAGCAACCCGCTCTGGTGCCGCTGAGCTCCTCTATCAGCTCATTTACGTACAGGTTGAAGAGCGTTGGTGAGCTCAACCCCCCCTGTCTCACCCCGCACTCCAACCTGTACGGGTCAGACATACATCCATCCCATCTCACATTGTTGACCTGGCTTCTATACCAGTATTTAAAGATATTCAAAAGTTCTCTCGGTAATTGAGATTTTTCGAGTTTATTCCAGAGCAAATCGTATGAAACCAGGTCGAAAGCTTTCGAAAGATCCAGAAAACACGCCACCACTGGTGTGCCACGTTTGGCGTAGTAATTGACAGCGTGCTTGACACACAGAACAGCCATCTCAGTGGACAAGCCACGTCGAAACCCGAACTGGTTATCATGAATACTAACGTATTTGTTTAACTGTGTATTAAGCACGCTATCAAGCACCTTAGACACAACCGTTGCCAGAGAGATAGGCCTGTAGTTGTTTATGTCTGAAAGGTCTGCCGTTTTATTTTTAACAATGGGTACCACTACTGTTTGCAACATCTTATCCGGTAAGTGACTATGACTCATACAAAAGTTATACAACATAAACAAAACTCTGGGCAAATGGGGGCCCGCGTACTTTAGGTGTTCAATACTGAGACCATCGTGTCCGGGAGATTTCCCTCTAGACATAGATTTTATGGTCAAGACGATGTCTTTTACAGTAATTTGGGTTTTCCTTTCCACGATAGTCTCAGCATCCAGCACAGAGTGGGAGGGTCCCAAAGGAGATTTAACAACAAAATTATCTTTAAACAAGTTAGCAATTTCCTCAGGCTCCGTTTTCCCACCAACACTCACGGGGAGGCCGGGCCTACATTGCAACTTTAGCCAACATTAATTATTTTTGACACTTACAACATAAATTTACAGTCACTCGTTTAAATACTACCCTTTAATTTTTAGCGTTATGAGTCGCATCTCAAACTAATTGGAAAATTATAAATAACTTGAAAAAATCGAATTGCCTAAATCGAATTTCGTGGGTTCAATTTTTTTAGCCTTTCCCACCTTAGGCAGTTCGATTTTTTTGAAGTTATTTCATAATATTTTAATACAGTAGTTTAATCTAGAAGGTTTTTAACCTGAAAAATAAATCAATAGGTTAATTAATATCTTCGTAGCTCAATTGATAGAGCAGTCGCATCGTAATCAAAAGGTTAATTAAGGATTTGCGTGCTATAGAAGGTCTATTGGTTTCTGTTTTTCATTTTACTATTAAATATACAAAAACTCATTAAGAGCATGCTATAAACAGCCTTTGTTGGTATTTAGGTCAGTATAAATCTTATGTTAAGCAGCTTTAAAACTTTTTGGTCATAATAATTCAAAACCATTTTCAACCAAGTTTCAATTACTAGTCCAAGATTCCAATACTCCAATTAGCATAATTACGCCGTTCCACATCGTCCCGCGAGCATTGTGACTATGCACGAACTTTTTTCGCACATCGAAATATGAGTAAAATTCGTGTATTCGTAGTCAAAAGGATCGCTAGAGCGTACGTAATAATTCGCCGTTGTTCAAGAGCGAAGAACGAGTGGTATTTTTGTTTCTATTTCTAAATCTGAACGCTCATATTTTCGGCTTTTCGAAATGAAATTCCCACTGAAATTCAGCTCATTGCTAACGGTGATACTCGTACCACTACACAGTTCACTTAGCACCTTACGTTTCACTGCGTTTCAGCTCAGTTTCAGGTTCAGTATTTTATTTACTTGAAGTTATGCAAGCTTAGCA